GTCTTTTCTCTCCTCCGTTTCTTCTCCCTTCCCACCTCCCCCTCGTTCCCTCTCCGTCGTCTCCCTCCTCCACATCCGCCTCCTTCTCCTCTCCTTCATTCCTCCTCCCCCTCCTCCTCCTCCTCCTCATCCTCCTCCTCCTCTTCCTCCTCCTGATCCTCATCACCACCACCACCATCATCATAATCATTATTCCCCACGTGCCGCCAGGAGAGCGAAAGGCGCGCCCTGGCGGCCGCCCTCGTATCCCAAGTGAAGAGCTGACCGACAACGACCAGGGACACTCGGGTGCAGGCCGGGCGAAAGAAAGCAGGCGGCAGCCAGGAGCAACCGGTGAGAAGAGAAGCGAGAGCCCATTCGATGCAAGCGCTGTTGGAGGAACAGAGGCAGACAGAGGCAGAGACAGAGACAGAGACGAGGCAGAGAAAACGGAGACGGAGAGAAAGACACGGAGAGGATGGGAAAGAAACGGAGGCAAAGAGAAAGAGAGGGGGAAAGAGAGGTAGACAGAGGCAAAAACGGAAACACGGAGGGGGACGGGGAAAACGGCGATAGAGCCAGAGACGGCGATGTCGACCCACCCAGAGACGGAAGCCACGACAGAGACATACTATGGCGGATACGGAGAAGAAGACGGAAACGGCGATGGGGACGCAGTGTCCGAGGCGCAGACACAATATCGAGGCGGAAGCAGAAAGCGGCATGTTCGACTGTGCTGGGTCCACAACCAGCAGCAAACGCGAGAGCCCACTTTGGCAAGCGGACTATCAGCGCCCCTCACCATGTCTTTCGAGCTGACCGTTCGAATGACGGAGTAGCTTAGGCGCGCTTGAGTCCACCTAGCCTCCACGAGGCTCCAAAAATGAAATGGCCGACTTGCATCTCGCTCCGAAACTGTCGTCGAATCATGCCGCCGCGAATGGACACTCGGCCGTCGCGCCTTCTGATGGAGAAGGCCCCCAGAATTACAGAATGCGGCCGATCGTAGCGGGAGCCAGCCACGCCTGAAGCAGCAAAAGACGAACAACACCTTGCAAGCGATATGCACACAGGCACGCGCTAGTATGACTTGCACTAGTGTGGGCACAGCAAAGCAGCAGTTTGCTTCCATACGTGTTGGGGGTCCCAGGGTCTCCCAGGTTGAAAGGCACGGCATGCAAGAAAGGCTCGCTGACTCCAGCACGCTGCGAAACTGCGGGCGCCAGCGGGACGCCCTGCAACATGTTCATCGCCAGCTACAGAACCGGCATGTGTAGGAGCCTTGGAGAAAAACATGGCACCAAAGAAAAAAACCCAAACAGTGGATGGTTTTCGCTGAGGAGATCGACCGGGAGCCCGAGAACCCAAAACCCATCGAAATCGGCCCGCAACCAATGACCGGAAACCACTTAACCGGGAACCAGGAACCCGGGAACCCAGCCTGCTACCAAAATCGGCGGGAAACTTTCGCCAAATCTTTCAACTTGCGCTAGGACCCCTTCAGTGCAAGCACTGTCCCCTCCGCTTTCCCCTCCACCCTCTGCGCGGCATAGGGAACTGCACGAGCACAGGGCGAGAAGCTCGGTCCATCGGCGCCCCTTTTCCTGGGAGCGAAGGGAGGACGCAGCACGTCCATCGGCTCCCAGCCCGCCCGGCGCCCCCGTCCTCTCCCGCCAGCACATCATCTGGCAGAGGACCTCGGCGCGAGAAAGCTCCAAGCCACCTGCTAGAACAAACACCCACACACGCTGACCTATGGAAGAAGGCCTCCGCCGAATGAGCTGGTCGCCCAACCCCCGCCCCAGTCTGAAGCGCCCCGAGAGACAGCGGAAGCGCATCTCCCCGCTCGCTGTCGTCGCCATCACCACCATCATCAGCAGCAACAACAACAAAAGATTACCATCCTCATCACCATCATCAGCAGCAGCATCATCATTGTCGTCGTCGTCGTCGTCGTCGTCGTCGTCATCATCATCATCATCATCATCATCATCATCATCATCATCATCATCATCATCATCATCATCATCATCATCATCATCATCATCATCATCATCATCATCATCATCATCATCATCATCATCAGCATCATCATCATCATCAGCATCATCATCATCATCATCATCATCATCATCAGCATCATCATCATCATCAGCAGCAGCATCATCAGCATCATCAGCATCATCAGCATCAGCAGCAGTATCAGCATCGGCATCATCCTCATCCTCATCATCATCAGCAGCATCAGCAGCATCAGCATCAACATCAGCATTAGCATCGGCATCATCAGCATCCGCATCCGCAGCATCATCATCATCATCAGCATCAGCATCAGCATCAGCATCACCAGCAGCAGCATTTCATCCGCATTATCATCAGCATCATCATCATTAGACTCAGCATCATCATCATCAGTACCAGCAGCCTCAGCAGCATCATCATCAGCATCATCATCAGAATCATCATCATCATCATCATCATCATCATCATCATCAGCATCAGCATCAGCATCAGCATCATCATCATCAGATTCAGCATCATCATCAGCATCATCATTATCATCATCAGCATCATCATCGTCGTCATCGTCATCGTCATCATTATCATTATCATCATCATCATCAGCATCATCATCATCATCATCATCATCATCATCATCAGCGTCGTCATCATCGTTGGCCTCACCCTTGGCCTAATCCTTGGCCTTCTTCTCTTCTCCGTTTAATATACGATGTTACTACCTGCTGATAGTTCAATATGACGGATGGGTGCTCTTTTTCAAAACGGTGCTCTGCCCTGAACGGTACGCCCGTCCTGCCGTCAGCTGCGGACGCGCGAGAGCCGCTGGGGGCAGAACCACTTTTCTTTGGGGGGGGGGGGCCTCTTCTTCCGGAGGGCATTCCACGGCCTCGGGGGGGGGGGGGGAATGACCCAGCCACGCGCGAGGGGACGACATTTAAGAGCAGGGGGGCCAAAACACCGACACAAGAGACCAGGAAAGAGGAAAACGAGGAGGAGGAGCAGGAGGAGGAGGAGGAGGAGCAGGAGGAGGGGGAGGAGCAGGAGGAGAAGGAGGAGGGGGGGGGGCAAGGAGCGGGGGCACGCGGAGGGGCCGCCTCGAAAGCACAGCCCTGGACGTACCTGGGAACCCCAGGATCCGCCGCGAGGGCACCTGGGAACTACGAGCACTCCGACATTGGACCTGGGGGAAGGAGTCGGGACGTTCTGTGCGCCGCCAGGCGCACAGCCCGGGCAGCGGCGCTTCTTCCACGAGGCATCGTCGCCCCGACGCTGTTGGCCGAGGCACCGAGCGCGCCTAAGACGAGCTACCTGTCGGAAATCGTGCGTGTCCAACCGGACTGCCGAACACAAGCGCCCCCCCTGCTTTGAGGCGCGCCGGGTCGAGAACTACAAAAGCTGCGTGCGTGGCACCTGGATCGAAGCGCGGCCGCTGAAGTATGGACGCTGGATTGGTTGGGGGCGGGGACGTGACTCTGCATCCCACCAGCCCTCATGGCGTACACGTCGTTCATTTCTAATCGTGCTCATTTCTAAGTGTGCTCGTTGCTGATTGTTCCTGGCCCCCTGGTGGCCAGGAAGAGGCCCAGGATAGAACAATTAGAAATGAAAGGATCTTGGCCCCCCAGAACATCAAAGAACGTGCGAAGAATCAGAAATGAACAATGTGTAGGTGGTTGAATGGATCATCTCTTCCGAGCCCCAAGACAGCTCGAAGAAATGCCCAGGAGTGCCATGAGACGCCCTCCAGAGCCCACAAGAGCCCCCGAAGATGGACCCAAGAGGCGCTTGCTCTAGCTCCGGCAGGGAGGGGGTATGATGGATCGATGGTCCTGGATCGGCAGAGGGCCACGAAGGCCCCCAGGAGGGCCCCAACAGAGCCCGAGGAGAGCCCCAAGAGAGCCCCAAGAGGGCCCCAAGTGCTCCCCGAAGCACCCCAAGAGTGCCCCAAGATGGCCCCAAGAAGCCCGCAGAGACCACCATGAAGGCTATTGTTGAGGACTGATCGGGCTGACTCCAGCTTCGCTTTAACCATCCAGTGCGAGCTTTGAAACGGACTTCACGGTTGACTCCAAGGACTGCTCGTGCTGACCCCGAGCTTCGGTTTGACAGCAGCCCCCCCCAAACCCCCCCTCCCGCTTAACTATATGATCACACTCTTCCCTGATCGAGCCAGTTAACCTGGTAATTGAACCTTGGTGGACTGGTGGGGATGCAAGAACCGTCGTGGATCTGCTGCCTACTTACTGCTCATCGCGCACTACGTGCTACGTACCACTTGCTCCTGACCACGTACTGATTGCTGAAGGCCCCCTCTCGAACTCCAACTTGCTACGTATGCGCGTATGCGGTTCGCTCGGGGCCTCAAAGTTACCAAGTGAATTCCTACTACGCGCTACAGATTACGCGCTACTCCATGACATCGACGTGCGAACCACTGCTCCATGTATGCGGCCAACTGATTGCTTGTTCTTACTGGCCAGCCCCTACTGACTAGGACCAGAAGCTACCTGGTAGCCTGCACCCTGCTTTTGCGTCTGGCCCAATACTTCTGACATGCTATAATACCGCATCCTGCTGGCTACTCATTTTGGCGGCGAGCGCGGGGGGAAGTGAGAATGGGCGTGCCTTCTCAGAAGGCTAGGAAGTCCCCCGGGCTTCTGAGAAGTTTTCTAAGCCTTCCCCGAAAACGAATACAAACTTCTCAGAAGGCGCGAGGGCTTCTGCCAAGTCCCGCTGCCTTCTGGGAAGGTCTTCTCCTTCTCATTTCCCCCCCTCGCTCGCCGCCGATACTGCGTGCTACGGCTACGGATTCCTTGGCAATGCTGACACACTACACCGAACGTATCACTACTCGCGAGAGGTGCCTGCCAGGAGGAGAAGAGACAGGAGGAGGGCACCGTGTCACGCGCTCGGGAGCAAGCGCCTTCGAACGGGAACGTCCGAGGGTCCCCCATCAGATGCTCAGCTTGCTGTCATCAGGCCCCTCGGGGGCGCGGGCATCACTCTTGATTCTCACCGCGTCGTCGGGCAGGTCGTCTGGGTCGGAAGGCATGGACTTGGCGCCGCAGCACAGCATGCCGGTCAGCTTCCTCTTCGGCTTTGGCCGCGACACCTGAGAAGAGGCCGAGTCCGACGAAGGACAGGCGTGAACCGAGAAGGGTGGGCGGAGGGGGAAGGGGCAAGGGAAGGAGAGAGGAGTGGAGCATGACGAAGGTGACAGCGGGCGACGACGAGCACGACGACGACGACCAGCACGACGACGACGACAACGACGACGACGACGACCACCACCACAATGACCAAGACGACCCTGACCACGATCACTGCCACGACGAAGACGAGGAGAGCAATTCCGTGCAAGGAGTGACAGGCACGACTAAGTTGGGAATCGCTAAAGGCTGATAGGTCTGGAGAGAATGCCAACTGCCGTCTGGAGCGCTCCAGGACCATCCAGGTGCGCTCCACAGAGCCCCTGAACAATTCGACCGTATCCTATGGCTGCTGGATTCTGGATGCTTTCCCAGCGCAAGCGGGAGGGACCGGGCGTACGAGTTCAAGCACATTTCAGACTGGGACTGTGTGCAACTGGACAACGAAAGGCGCTGCTTGAGGCCGTATCTGCTCGGACCTGACACAGCACGGACGACGACGACGACGACGACGACGACGACGACGACGACGACGACGACGACGGACGACGACAACGACGACGACGACGACGATGACGACGACGACGACGACGACGGCGACAGCGAAGGCGACGACGATGCGGCGGCGGCGACGGCGAAGGCGACGGCGACGGCGACAGCGACAGCGACGGCGACGACGACGACGACGACGACGACTACCGACGACCGACGACCGACGACCGACGACGACGATGACGACGACGGCGACCGACGACCGACGACCGACGACCGACGACCGACGACCGACGACCGACGACCGACGACCGACGACAGACGACCGACGGCCGACGGCCCACGACCGACGACAGACGACGGACGACCGACGACCGACGACCGACGACCGAAGACGAGGGTCCTCCTTGCCCGGCGCAGGCGTGTTCCGCGGCGGCAGCCGCCGAGGCTCTTCCAAGGCCGGCGGCTCGTCGTTGACCGGCGGCCGCGGAGGCTGCGCCGCCGCGGGCGTCCCCGCCACAGCGGGGGCGGCGGCGCGGCCTGGCTCCTCCGGGCGGCGAGGTGGGCGGCGTGTGGCGGCGGCGGCGATGGCGGCGGCGGTGGTGGCGAGGGGGCGGCGGCGGCGGCGGCGATGGCGGCGATACAGCGCTGGCGGCGGCGGCGACGGCGGCGACGATGGCGGCGGCGACGGCGCTGGCAGCGACGGCGGTGATGGCGATGGGGCGACGAAGCAATGGCGGTCGAGACACAGCAGACACCAGGCCGATCCGTCTCCGCCGGGCGCGGCCGCCACTGTCTCCCTCCTCCGTCTGCTCCTTCGGCTCCTGCTCCTACATCTCCTGCTCCTGCTCCTGTTCCTACTCCTGCTTCTTCTCCTCGTCAATTTCCTCCTCTCCCTCCTCGTTCTCGTCCTGCTCCCAATGGCATCCTCGTTTTCCATCATTTCGTCGTCATCCTCCTCCTCCTCTTCCTCCTCCTCCCCCTCCTCCTCCTCAACCCCCAGACACTCCCCCTCTTGCTCCATCTCCTCCTGAAAGCATCATGATCCCCCTCATTTTTCAGCGCAGATCACATCTAGACGAAAACTCATGGCGAAAAAAATGATCGAGCGCGAGACAAGCAAAAGAAATAATAGAAAGGTGGCAAGCGCTAGATCCCTTTCTTCTCCTCCGGCTCCTCCTCCTCCTCCTCCTCCTCCTCCTCCTCCAAATCACAACGATCATCCTGCCATTCCCCCTGTTCCTCCTGTACCTCCTGCTCCTCCGCCTACTTCTCCTCCGCCTCCCAGCCACTGGCACTGCACGCGAAGGTCCCACAAATAGTCAGAGCACGGGCGTCTCACCAATGCAACGGCTGACGCTGAGCGCATCGCCAACAACTGCAAACTTTAGTCAGAAACAATGCATTCAGTCAGACTGGCCTTGGTGATAGCATGGGCTGCTGCAGTGGGCGCGGCAATACGCTACTCGGGCGCCGGCAACGAATATGCGTATGCGCCTCCCGCAGGCGGGCAGGGAGCGTGGAACTACTTCACAACTCCATCCCGTAAAACAAGCCGCGGCCTTCAAAGGTGGCGAAAACTGAAGCTACAGGCCCCAACGACGACGAAGGCGACAAAGGCGACGGCGCGCGGCTGGGCGGCGGCGGCGACGACGGCGGCGACGACGTCCTTGGCGCCCGAGCCACGGGAGCCACGAGGAGTCGCCGCCTTCTCCTGCGGGCGGGGGACCAGAGGGGGCTTCGGCCCACGGGGGTTGCGCGGACAGGGTGCAGCATCAGCAGGGGCAGGAGGAGCGCGAGTAGCATCAAAGCAAGGGGAGGAGGAGGAGGAGGAGGAGGAGGAGGAGGAGAAGGAGGAGGAGGAGGAGGAGGAGGAGGAGGGGGAGGAGGTGGAAGAGGAGGAGGAGGAGGAGGAGGAGGAGGAGAGAGGCCATGGAGAAAGAGGGGGAGGATGGCGAGGAGATAAGGTGTTACTGCGGCCCGTTGGTTGTTACTGCGGCCTGGTGGGTGTTAGTATGGCCAGGATTCTTCTGGAGTGTATTAATTAACGAGTACGGTGAAGGGGGGGGCTCCAAAGATGCTCCACCCCCACTTCACCGAAGAGCCTCTGGCGCTCTCCGAAGAGCCTCTTGGAGCCGCCGAAGACCTTCTTGCAGCCGCCGAAGAGCCTCTTGGGCTCGCCGGAGAGCCTCTTAGGGCCTCCGAAGAGCCTCTTGGGCTCTCCGAAGAGCCTCCTGGGCTCTCCGAAGAGCCTCTTGGGGCCGCCGAAGAGCCTCAGCCGCCGAAGAGCCTCCTCGAGCGGCCGAAGAGCCTGTTGTGTTGTTGTTTTGTTGTTGGTGATTCGTTTGTGTTAGTGTTGTTTGTTCTTATTGTTTGTGTGTTGCTGCTTTGTGCCTTTTTGCCCTGGACACCCTACGAGCCCGTAGTAACCCCTGGGCCGAGAAATCCCTAGGACTAGTAATCCCTATGACTAGAAATCCTTAGGACGAGTACTCCCCAGGTCTAGTAATCTCTAGCATCGGTAATTCCTACGGCTAGTATTCCCTAGGACATGTACTCCCCAGGACAAGTACTCCTTAGGACTAATACGCCTAAGGACTAGTGCCCCCTTGCTCCTTGGACTAGAATCCCCAGGATTAATACTCCCTAGGGGTAATAATCCCTAGGACTAGTACTCCCTAAGGCTATCACTCCCTAGCGCCAGAACTTCCTAGGACTAGCACTCCCTCGGACTGGCACTCCCTAGGACTAGTACTCCGTAGGGCTGGTACTCCGCAGCACGAGTACTCCCTAGGACTAGTACTCCCTAGGACTAGTACTCCCTAGGACTAGTACGCCCTAGGGGTAGTAATTCCTAGGACTGGTACTCCCTAGGGCTAGCACTCCCTACGGCTAGTACTCCGTAGGACTAGTACGCCCTATGAGTGGTATTCCCTGACACGGCACTGGTCGCAACGAGGCATCCTCCCTGAGCCGTCTTGAGCCAAACATGGTTTTTGGAAGAGGGAGAGGGAGGGGCAGGGAGAGGGGGAGGGGGAGGGGGAGGGGAAGGGGGAGGGAGAGGGAGGAGGAGAGGGACGGGCAGGGGGGGAGGAGTAGTATTCTCCAGGATGCAAGGGTGCACGTGTTCTCTGAGATCTCGCAAGGTAAGGATGCAACACACTCGTCTTCTCCTTCTTCTCCTCGGCCTCGCCTAGGATCCCAGGATGCCTCGTCCTGCCAGGCCCGTAGTTATCAGGTTCGCAACCGAGGCACGGCTAGATCCTCCTCTACTACTACTACTATAACCCAGGCACGATCCGCGATCCCCGTGTGAGGATGTTAAGTGTGAACAAGGCTGGAAGCCCAAGGTGGGATCCGGGCGCCTTGACGGCTGGGAGTCCAAGGTGGGGTCCAACAGGGCAACAAGGAGGAGTCTCTCAGAGACCTCTCAGGAGGTCCACAGGAGCGCGGGTCCTTTTCAAAATTGAGCTCCGAGGGCCTCTTCAAACACTACCACAGTACGGACGCAACGCTACCATAGTACTACCACACTACAGCACCACTACCACAATACCAGCACCACAACACCACAACACCACTACCACAACACCACAACACCGCTACCACAATACCACAACACCACAACCACAACACCACAACACCACTACCACAACACCACTACCACAGCAACACTGCCACTACCACAACACTACTACCTACCAACAACTCAACAACACTACCAACACCACACCACTAACAGCACAGCCACATCACCACTGCGAAACCAAAACAGGGGTCTGTTATGGACTTGCCGCGTACTACTATTACTACTACTACTACTACTACTACTACTACTACTACTACTACTACTACTATTACTACTACTACTACTACTACTACTACTACTACTACTACTACTACTACTACTACTACTACTACTACTACTAACTACTACTACTACTACTACTACTACTACTACTACTACTACTACTACTACTACTACTACTACTACTACTACTACTACTACTACTACTACTACTACTACTACTACTACTACTACTACTACTAACTACTAACTACTAACTACTAACTACTAACTACTAACTACTAACTACTAACTACTAACTACTACTACCACTACTACTACTACTACTAC